CAGCCAACCCCTTGGAGTAACAAATAAATAAAGAAAACAACTAGTGAACACTTTAATAAAGATTTGATTCCAGAACATTTTTATGTGAAAAATAAATCCTTGTGACATTGTCAGATGACACATAACATCAGGTATGTGATCTAAATTATATGATAGGCATAATTTCTATAATGTTTTACTCCAGTTTCAGCTAAGTAACTAGGTATACTAGATACGTATATAAAAACAACTTTGATCAACAGTATGATAAATTGATTGCTCACAAATTTGAATTAAGTTATTCGATGGTATTGAAGTTCTTGTAAGGGTAGAATACACCAAAACAATACTCTATTGTATGTTAACTGCCTTTAAAACGATGTAAGTAATGTTTTCCCTATCACTCCTTTTGATGTAGGTAAGTAGGTATTAAAAACTAATGATTGTTCGTCTACCGCACAAAACCTTATCATTACTTACATATATCTCTGAACGTGTTGAAGTCACGTGATATATGAAAGACAGTCAAGAGGCTAATACTTTAATCTAATCGTAGTGGTTCATCTGTTATTTTGAATAACGACCGTCCATTTTTATCCGCGTGTGTCTAAGATTTCATTCAGCCAAAACGTTAAATGATTTAACAAAACAAAAGAATTTGTGGTCATCAAAAGTGAAAATTGTTTTTATTTATGTATCTAAGCAATATGATCTAAATAAGTTTATATTTGACTTCTGAATATTACTCACATGTAGTATATCAAAAGTAGAAAAGTGAACCAATCGTAAATTGTAAAATAAAGATATGCTACAATCTCCACAAATGCTAAAACGCTGTCCTTGGTATAGGTACACATAGACGGAATGTAAAACATTAGCGACAAAAGGGGAAATGAAGACATTTCCTAAAAAACGAGGACAAATGTACATCAGCATCAACACATGTCCACCACAGTATCAGCAAAAGTTGATGAAATTGATCCAACATCAACACTAGAGAACGAAATTTCCACATAAATAGAAAAGAACAAATTTTCCGAATTAAAACTCGAAAATAGATTATCTTACTCGAGTACACAAATTTTAATTTAAGTCATAAATGTAAAATTCCCAAACTAACATTCAAGAACAACATAAATTTACAACTTGAGGAAATCTTCCACAAAAGCATTTGAGAACACAATATCCACATTAACAGTAAAAAAGTAATTTCCCATAACAACACAAGTGAACAGATTTTTCACATTTCACTCGAACAGGACTCTCCATCATCGCTCAAGAATGAATTTTCACCAGTAAGACACAAGAATAAATTTTCCACAACACCAAAAATTTTTTACAGCAACATGCTAGAAAAAAGCTTACATATTCAGAGACAAGAGCAGTTTTATCAGTATAACATTTCAGAACATACCAAATACATTACCTGTCAAGAAACATTTTCCACAATAGTACCCATGAGCGGATTCAACACTCAAGAACAAAACTCCACATTCGCACGTGAGAAAACATTTCCGATATTAATAAAAAGGGAAAAATTTTCCTCGTTAACTCACAAATATTTTCCACATCAATATCCAAGTACAAATTTTTCACAATACCATCACTCAAGAATAAAATTTCAGCAATATTAATATAATATCATTACAGCAGATAATGATAAGTACCGCCAGAAAATGTTAATGATATATTTCTAATGATGATGACGTAACAGCGTCTCCGCGATATCAATTTCTTATCTTTTGTTTGTATAAAAGACACAAGCATTACAAAGCCGTTGGTCTTTGTTTTACCTCTCTGGTAGAAGCAACAATAATTTCAGTTAAATTCAGTTAAACCGAAAGGTGTTTTAACTTTAAACATACTAAATGAAACAGTGACATCTTAATATAATCATTTAAATGTTGCATTGCTTTTATTTTATTAATAGGAATATGAAAGAGATAACTTAAAATTCTAATCAGATGCACGTTACAGTGTCTGCCAAAACTGCGTAAAAACCAACTGTCTGATAAAACATGTTCTGTCTGGTCAAATATCCTGAAGTTTTGGTGATGGAAAGAAAGAAAATATGACATTTTTATGGGGTTTTTTCCGGCTCTGGTAAACATTTAAAACATTTCACATATACACTGTAACTACTGAAGCAAGGAAAATGAAACAGCGCCTTACAAAAATTCTCTAACATATAGTAACAGAAGCACTTTGTTTCTAAAACACCTCGGAAGCCAGTCACTATTTTAACAAATCTTCATGGTTTTAGAAAGAAAATTTTACACTTTGTTTTATAGATATAAAGAATAAGTCATAATCAACATGTTTATCTTATATATATTTTTGGTTCCTTTAATTATTTGTCAATTTCTTACTTTTAAACGGACATATACGATGATGAAACTCATCATATTCCATATGGTTTCTTTTTACATTAAGGAAATGATAATTATTCATTTATGAATGGAATAATGTATTCAAGCATATTAATTTTGATACAAAACAATACTATTTATTACTGATATATATTTGTAGATGGTAATTTTGAATTTGTTTCGAACTCTCAACATCTAAAAGATATTTTACCGTTAATTCATCAGAAAATTTCTTCATAAGACATCTACAACGATCAGATACAGAATGGTTGAGATCTTTTGTACCTTCATAGCATACCAACCAAACATCCTCACACTAATACTATCACATCTGCCTGGTTTATCAGATATCAAACTCATGTCTCTATAGGAATGCTAATTATTATAAACAAATAAACATCTCTACTTTTCATTTTGCCTACTAGTTCTGTTAAGGTAAGTGTTAGAACAACACCTACTACTGGAAAGTATAGTTCGCACGTGTATATTGACTTTTACATTTAAATGGCTTAAGTAGTTTCTACTAGACAAGAAAACAGAATGTAAATGCTTTATCTCCTGTGAGGCAATAAATAGCCAAATATTTGTGAGAGCATATTTTGGATAGGGTTCTGGAAGTAAGTGATAAATTATATATTTGGTATGTTTAGCTATCCCTGTATGAAATGCCACTTGAATAAAGCCTAAAACGGTGTATCACCTATCCGCCCGATAACCTCATGCCACCTCGGACTCTCGAGGACTCTAGCCGACCTCGGTCAAAGTAGATCTGTCGATGTGACCACTTTAACACTGACAGCTTTTAATGTGATAACATTAGGCACTTTGTTTAAGAAAACTACAAACCATTATAAAGTATGAGTTTGACATATTGTTACACAACGAAAAGCATTTTTTCTGATATCAAAACAAGTACAAATGGTTAAAAAAGACAACAAAAAACGAAAACAGAAAAATCTAACAAACAAAACAAAAAATAAGTTTTTTATCAACTTATTTTCATTGATAATTAATTAAATGAAGCTACGTTTTTATTAAAACAGTGATGCATACATATGTCATTCAATGAAGATAAAAACGATTCTAAGTTAATAAATGTATTTATATATATATTTTTTTTAATATATAGATGTAAAATAATACTTTAAGAAATTAATCAACTTGGCAGTTTGGTTTTCACTTACTAGCATCTGGTTAGGTAATACGACATGTAACCGAATAAGTTGAAATAACTTTATTTCCTTAATGTAAGTTATAAATATTCAAAATCATGAACTCTTTTCTTTTAGAAAAAAATTGCACAATATTCGGTATATGAATCATCTACGTTTAAGGCCAATCTTTCAGGTCAAAATAAACCAAAAAGGATTTACAATGGGTTTCCAACGGTAGAAAGTTTGTGTTAGTCATATCTAAAAGATAAGTAAAACCAACAGTGTGTTGGTTCAATTTTAAAATGTTAATACTCAGTGAATGCTGTGGCAGTTTTAGCCGTGTCCAAATCAAGTGTTATCGCTAGGTTCTTTCAGACTAGCTTTAGGATACAATACTATACTGTACGGTGATTGATGGTTGTCCCCGCCGCCCCGGACAAATTCTCTTATATCCAGGATCGGTACATTTGTCGTTTGATAAGACTCAAAACTCTATTTACAAAATTACATTTCACTTACCAATGGAAAATTGCATAAAACGTTATACATATAATATGAAGAGTGTAGAAGCATATTTCTGACAATCGAACACTTTAAAACTGTATGTTAATAATCTTAAATTATTAACATTGTATAACATTTGATGTTGAATATTGATCACGTGATTATTTGGAAGCAACATAAATTAGTTAAGCGCAGGTGAAATGATCGATTCTCAAATCTAAATAACAGACTGAATTATTCAAAATCTACCAAGATCAGAGTTGCTGATTATCAGTACTTGTTACAATTCGTGATCGGAGAAAAAGGTCAGATCAGGTGTGCTGTACTAGGCGAAGATGGAATGTCTCTGACGGGGTACTCGTCTAAAGGTGAGTTTCATATTCGTTCACTTTAAACATGACTTCAAGCACCTGTTCATACAGAGTTTACATTCTTCTCACTTCCATAGCAGTTATTCGTTGAGATATACAGCGAAATGGCATCGTCAGTTCTTTAGATAACGGTAAATAACAAGTTGATCGGATGGCGTGTGCCTCTTCTGAGAATGAACCTCCACGCTAAATGTCACCGAGGAGAAGTATATGCGATCTGCCCACTACCCTCTCTATCTGCATTTCACAAGTATCATCGACACCGAAGCACAATTGACAGGTGAGTTCAAAGGTTATATAATCTAAGTGTCTGAGTAAAACGACTTGACGCTTACTACTGCAATAATACCTAAAACATGCTCAGTCACTATCTTGTTCGTTGAATGTCAATTTGACCTAGAAAATGTGACTCAAAACCAGTATGAAGACGTCTAGATTTCGATGATGTGTGTAGTTTGAACGATCCACCATCCAGAGTGATTCTATGGAATGATGACCCTCCATCATGTGACCAGCATGCACTAGGGTCTGTGGCCTCATGCGAGTGACAGTGATGAATTCGTAAATAGTAATATACCGACTGTTAAGCAATATCTTTGATTATTCCAGGTCATTAATTGAAGATGGAAGGACATAACACATACTACCCGCAGCAAATGTATACAAGGGACAATTATGGAGTTATGGTGACCATTCCTGGAACATATCCCAACACCCAACCTCCTGCATGTGTCTACCAAAGGAATTCACACGATGGCTCCTATGGGGGCCAGACTATGACAGTAGTTGAATCGGGGCTACATGGAGAAACCCCTAATAATATAAACCATCAACTATCCCCACAAGGGATGCCGGTGAATGTTCAAGGACATGCTCAACAGACCAACCCTACTCCGGCTCATATGCACAATTCGCATTTAATCAACTCACCTTCCCTTCAAACATCTGCCAGTCTGCCTCCACCTGCACACACCCAAACGGTTCCACCCCCTGTGTCCTCCATGTCCGGTCCCGGTGGTGACAGTTCCCCCGATACAATCAACAATAACAACAACCAACAACAATCACAACTTCAGTTTCCGTGGATGAAAACAACAAAATCTCATGCCCATCAGTGGAAAGCGCAGTGGCCAGGTAAGAGATTTATTTAAATTCGTAATCTTAAGTCTTAGATTTACTTTTATTTCTGCAGATCAAATGGTTACCTTATACGTAATCTGAAATCAAAGAATCTCAAAATTCGTTTCTGTTAAAATTATATATTGAATTATTCAGTATATCTACAAATGTATATAAATACCTACCTACATCACTCTGTACATATCCAAGCGGAATATTCCAAATATGGATGGAAATTATGAATCATAAAGTAAAACTGTTAAAAAACTAAACAATCCTTGAAATAGTATCTATCGTGCACGGGTTTGAAATTTGTTCGTTCTCCGCAGAACATTTATTTTCGTACATCCCTTGTTCTTTCATGACATCCCACGCAAGACAGCATCTACGAGTGCCTAGCTTACGTATAAACACTTTATTTATACGTGGTGCCTTGTACAAATAATAAATTATTGCAATTACGCTTTTGCAATTTTATCGTCTTCTGTAATTTATCCGGAATTGATAGCTTTCTCATCTCAAATAAAAATTTATCAGAAAATGAAAATTAGAAGGACTTGCAATTCCGGTAGCCCAGCTAAACTCACTGATACAGAAGGAGCTATCAGGACGGAGTCGTGATAAATAATGACTTCGCTAGACGTGGAATGCTTTCATCTTGTTTCATTACCATTAATCCACATTTGAAAAATTACACTTAACGGGAAGAGAAGGTAGGAGAAAGTCGTCGATATATTGTATGTACGTACTGTTCTGTCTGGTAGATCACGTGTGCCGCAGTTACAGGCGATGTTGATGATGCACGGGTACAATGATATTGTCCATTGGGACAATTTATTTTATTTCCATGGTAACAAGTGTACTATAGATTGCCAAGTATCTTTTTTACATATATGGTATATTTTTATCCATATGAAACATTTGCTGATAAATAAACATTAACGATATACATTATAATATGACTTTTATTAGAACTAATGCTAGATGAATGTTCAGTGAAATGTCTTCCTGGTAACCATTTAAAGATATGTCTTGTCTCTTAAAACTGTGTTGTCTTTTAATAGGGTACAATTCATTCGATAATTTTGAATTACATCAAAAATATGTTACACAAAAAATGATGTTATTCTTTATTTGAAGAATACACTTCTGATATAAAAAATGGTATTTTTTATTAAAACTTTTAACGAGTTCATTACAAGTAAAAAACAAAAAACAAACACACACTCACACATTTTACAATTAACAAACAGTAGCAAGGTCTACTCTGGGCATTTAAGGCAAATTACAGATAATAGGATTATATATAATTGATATTTGTTTTCTATGCAACGTCATTAAACAATCGAAATAAATCATTTTTTAAAATTTTTACGTGAACGTTATGATGAGTATAATATTGTTTGGTCTCACCTTTCTGCTGTAACATAATACTAAAGGAGTTTTATCAATATTCGCCATATTTTCAATGTTACCAAATGACGCATATAAATGTGGAACTGTTTTATCTTCTTGTTCCATTTGAACGTCTTAAATCAGGCACTTTTTACATGCACATATGTAAGAAAAAAAAACAGGAAAAATAAGACAAGATCAACTCTTTTTTTATCTTTTCGACATTATTCTTATATCGTATAATAATCGGATTTTACCATTCCGTAATATTATCTTTTGTTTTCGAATATTGAAAAGGCTTGGTCGTATAAATAGTAATTATTGGATAATGTCTATATCAAGTACAGAAATCTGAGGATCATTACATGCTTAATTTTTAGATTCTAAATGTTGTTGCAAATAACAGGAGAATTTAAATAAAACGATTAACAAAGCGTTTAGAGAAATATCATATCATGATTAACTTTTGATAAGATTTGACTTTTTTCTAGGTAGGAAATCAACGAAAAACTAGCTTAGATTACATATCGACAAGTTTGAAAAATTCGTTGAAGAACAATTTCTGTATTTATAGAAATGCTGTCACGTGATACCAATGTCGTTTTTGTGACGTCACACAAATATCTATGGAACGCTTATTTTCACAAAGATGAGTAAGAAATCATCATACGAAATACTAGATCATTTGCTAAGCAACAAATGTTTAAATATGCATTAGGTTAAACAACTGAAACAAAATCATTTTGAAAACATTTCAATCAAATGCTGAACTTATTTTTCTTCTCTATGATGTCAAATTGTGCATTAAAGGATTATTTTCACAATATGTTTACAATCAAAGTTATTCATTACACGAAAGTGAACGTTGAAATAGTGTATAGGCATTGAATATACTGTCCATTAAACGAAACCGTTTTCTAAACTTACAATTTATCAAAATTTAGCATGATAAATCAGTAGAATTTTCAAAACCTGATTAAAACATTTCATATTTCATAAAAAATCCTATCAGTAGATTTATGAAATAGAGTGTGTACATTTATTTAAAAACATCACAGCAATACAATTTATGAACCAAACAATACGATACCTGTAAATTTAAAAAAAAAAAAAAAAAAAAAAACATACCAGTATAGCTGTAAAATATGACATGATCATTGTTATCTGTTTAGATGTAATATACCTGCTCATTTGTATCAAAATTGTTTTATCAGTAATCATACTAGTGCATTAGTATTAGTAAAATACCATACCAGCACATATATATAAGATATCATACCAGCACATATATATATAAGATATCATACCAGCACATTTTTGAAATATTACACCAATATATAAAACAGCATACCAGAACATATTTAAAATATCATACCAGCACATATTTAAAATATTATACCAGCACATCTATTAAATATCAAACCAGCTTATATATAAAATATCATACCAGCTTATATATAAAATATTATACCAGCACATCTATTAAATATCAAACCAGCTTATATATAAAATATCATACCAGCTTATATATAAAATATCATACCAGCTTATATATAAAATATCATACCAGCTTATATATAAAATATCATACTTGCTCATATATAAAATATCATACTTGCACATATATGAAATATTATACCAGCATATTCATAAAACATTTCAGCACACGGTTGCCTTGTTATGCAAGGAATATACTCATTTAAGGTTATTTTGCAATCACAAATTTAATGTTACCTATTTTAGATAATAAAATGACGTTACACACTCAATGCAAATGTTTGTTTTCTACAATATTTAATTGAATTATCGATCAGGTGATAAAAGAGTCTTAAATTCGGTTCCATTTCTGAAATATGATTTATGAAACTCGTCACGATTTTATTTTTCATTTTAGTCACCACATGCTCTTAAAGATTAAAAATAAAATATAAAATATCATAGAAGTCTATTTGTAAAACAGTTTACCTATTTATTCATAAACTTTTATACAGAGTATTTATGAAAATTATGCAAATGTATTTTACAATTTACAAAAACACAATATATATTGATATATAAAATGTTATACCAGTACCAGTTCTACTAAATAATTATATTTTATCAAAAAAACAAAAACAATAAAAATATATAAGTTTATTTATAAAGCATTTTGCCAGTAATTGCAGCAGAACATATGTAAGACCATAACACATATATAAATACATTGATAACATCCATCAAAAAATTCAAATATTGCTGACTTGAAATAAAGTACAGGTTCATTCCTCAATCTATTAAATTATACCAGTATGTTCGTTTAGGAAAATGTCAATTGTATGGTTATCAACATTTTACATTTTTATGAAATGCATACCAGAATGGCTGTTTAGAACAGTGATTAAGATACTCTTACTAATAAATATATGATATGAGGAAACAAATTATTCAAGGTAACATTATTATCGTTAAACAAATAAGTTTATGTGACAGAACATTAGCGATAACTACAGCACATGTATGATGATATATCACTTAATAAATGATTACTGTTTAAAGTGTATGATTTATGATATTTGGTTTTCTTATCGTTGGCTGTTCCTTTTTTTTAATTGTTCTCCCTGATTGATATCTCGAATTAACAATTTATCGTTATAATGACGATTTTGCGTATATATCGATTATATGATATACCCTGGACCATTTTTCATTGGATGTTTCAGCCAGAAATGGAATGCGATGTCATAACATGGACCTTGATATGTCATGAATGGAAAATGACGCTGATTTTATCCACTACATTTTTATTTTAAAACGTGCTAAAATATAACTTTTCTGAGTTAGGTGATACGATATATCGTTATTTTTATGAGATTCTATGAAAATCGAAATTTGTTTGCTCGCCAAGGTTTCCAGAAACAAATTTCTACGTCTCGTTTCAGAAAATTTCAAATGAAACTAAAGTTCATTTTAGATCCCATATGCATTACTATTACCCCATGTGATATATGTTTTAATAACTTTAACAGTAAGTCCAACATGTAATGAAGTATAAACGATCAGCATTCTATCGTAACAAGACATAACTTTCTGGTGTTTTTTTTAAGTGTTTTTGGTCGATATAGGATTCTATACCTTATCAATATATTACTTATTGGATAATAATTATGGATCACAGATAATAGGCGATATGTAAGCAATACTATTACCTTCACTCAAAATCGATGCGAGTGGATATAAACCTAGGAAGGACTTACATTGTACAAAAAAGACAAGACAAGATATTTTAAAGAACATCTTCTAAATCATCAATGAGAATTGATCGTCAAAGTGAAAAGTATTCTACTTCTTTTTGCTATATTAAGCTGGACGTCTTTGATGCTAGTTAGTTTGCCTGTCGGTTTAGTTGTTGTATACCCGTTCTCGTTTACAAAAGTGACATTACTCACAAAGATTTACATGGCGGTGTCGCCAATGAAACAGATGACCCTTCCGGAACAGCTGGTCTTTTTTCCTCTTGTACTTTTACAAGAGTATCCGTGCAATTGCCCTAGTTTCATTGAATTTGAGTTTGGATTATTATGACTATGTTCACATATTTGTATTTAACGTACCTCCAGGTGATGTCATCTAATAAAATCTGT